AAAGCACTCGTAATCATAGATATCAATATGTGACCCAACTCCCTCCCCCTGGTAACTCCATCCCATAGTCCAATCCGCACAACCCTCAGGTGTCATGTGGGTTCCATCTTCAAAAAGCATAATCAGGTTGCCTTGGCGGGCAAATCCACTATCTGCAGCATGTGCAGTAGATGGTGAGAACAAAACTCCCTTTTTACAATCACTCCTGTACTTAAAACTTCCCCTCCCAAATACCATGCCTCCCCTCCCCGTTTCAATGACAGCCGAAAGCAAGTAGCGAAACAGAAGCTGACACCTGTTCATCCAGGTTCAGCTAGAGGGGAAGTGCTTTGCTTTCCTACTTATTACTATCAATTGCTTACTTACAGTCTTGGCTTATGTGTAGGTAATAGAGAGCAGCAAGCATTTGCAAGCCAGGATGATCAGAAAATGCCAAGGTCCTCAAGGCCTCTAAAGAGATCTTGCCAAGTGATGACATTTCAAAACCTTAGAGAAAAATATAAAAAGAGTTTCTGAATTGTGTCAGAAGTAGTGAAAGTACTGAAGAATTCATGGAACTGAAAGAAGTAGATAAAGGGAAAAACTCTTTTATCTGAAAATATTCTCTGTGCATGCTTTGAAAACATAGTGGATAGAACTGAATAAGCAATTGAATAAGCTCATCTTGTTCTTCATTAAAAAAAAATAGTTTAGCATCCTTTCCTTCCCTTAGTTACCTTTCATTCTTGTTATAATTTCCATCTATCTTCTTAGTTTAATTTCCCTCCATCTTCTGTCTTTACTGATTTGGGGTTCAGACTCTCTTTACTGAGGGAATTTACAATCTGATCCAAATGAATTTAGATTTACAATAACTAAGATTTCATTCCTCCAGGAGTTATCATAATCTCACTAACAAAATCACGTAAATTGACAAATCTACTCTGTTGATATTGATTGTGAATTTGTGATGCTACATATGAGAATCATAGCCAAAAAGGGAAGCAAGTACATGCTTATGGCTATGTTCTCAGTCGTCCAGGTTATGGTTGTCCCAAAGGTGCTTTTTCAAAAGGCAACTAGACTTTTGGGGAAAAATAAACCAAAGTCCAGTTGCCTTTTGAAAAAGCATCTTTGGGATAAGTACACGCTTAAGAACAACCCAGCACTGGAGATAATGAGAAAAATAATCTAGAAGGCAGGAGAGTTCTCCAAATAATTCAGTGAGGATTTTATGTGTTTAGAAACATATAAGCATAAAATGCTGAGTGATTGCAGGGAAAGTTAATGATTGATTTCAACCCTATATGTATTTTAAGTTTCCTATAAATTACTTTGAACTTAATTTACAAAGAAAAGGTAAATATAAACATAAAAGGATAAAATTTGTCATTATGTATCTTTTTATTTTAAAAAACCATGAGTTTTCTAAGTATGTATAAAAATTCTTTATGTCTCTCTGTGTCTGTCCCCATAATTCATTTGCTACTAAAATTTCAAATATCCCAGATCCTAACAAAATTTTCCTCTTTTTAGTAATGGATGTGAAGAATGTGGTAATGGAATTGGAAAAGTAAACATTCTTTTTCTGTACATCTGAGCAGATGATTATCTCAAAGTGAAGATTTGTTCTAAGAAAATAGTGCTTGGTAAGCTATGGTTTATTTTTCCCTTCTTATTGTACATGATGCCAGAGGCATCATGGTTCTTGCCCAGCCAAGAAATGAGAATGCGTGAATGAAAATGTAAAAGTGCATTGTGGCAGCTTTGGCAAGAAAAATTAAGGTAATTGACATGTAAGCAAAACTGCACATTTAAAAGCAGGGATTTAGTCAATAAATCTAGAATTGAGAATCAACTGCCCAATAATTGTTTTGGGTACTTTAAATTTAGGCTTTTCTTTGTGCCACCATTATTCACAAAAACAAAACAACCAGGAACATAAATAACAGGACTCTCTGATCTTATAGTACTTTAAAACAAAGCAGCAGAGCTCTAACAAATAATTCAACAGAATTGACTGACACACTTTCAAAGCAGAAATGTCTCACCTTTTTCAACGTGTTGCAGAAACTCTTGGGCAGTTTTCTCTTCATAGCGACGAATAACAGGTTTGTAGAGCTGCCTCATTTCAACATTTTTTCGTTTTAGGCAAGGGCAATCAGCGATCTGAGCCAAACACTCTCTAATGTCAAGCAACAAACCTGAGAACAATGTTTTCACTGAGACAGCAAAGTCATAAAGCAATTGAACACACTTGGTACACAGCTGACCCATTTTTATTTTCCTAATCCAACCAAAACCCCTGAGAGCAAAAAGGAAGGGAGCGTTTATACTTTGTTTATTTTATTGCTCATATATTCCTTGTACTGGAAATTTTAGATCTAGATATGATGTGGATAAGTTATTTAAAAGTTCAAATTGTTCTCTGAGTGCAGACAGAAAATCTAACTACATCTAACTACTCCAAATTAAGCCTTTCCCTCTATTTTAGACAGGAGAACAATAAATAATTAAACAAAAAGTGAAGCATTCAGAATCACCCTTTGTTCTGACTCAAAACAAAAGGTATTAAAACAAAGCACCGCAGTCCTAGAAAGCTAGTAACAACCCCCAGGATAACAAAGAAAGGTGATGCTTATATAGAATGACATCACAGGTGAAAGCAACAAATATATTGGTCCCCACCTCCTTAATTGATCAGCCAATCAGTGGAGAAGAAAACAAAAAGTTAAACAGGTTGTTCCAGTTTCTTCCAGACAAAGTAATAGTGCCCTTTGACTGGCACAAGCCAAGAACAGCCCTCAATACCTCGTGTCTATACACCCTTTGTAATTTTCTGTTCTACCTTTCTCATTCAAACACCAAGAATGAAGTTAGTAAAAATGAACATAAGAAACAAATATACCAAATATTTAGGCCCAGATTCTAGCTAAAATTATTTATAAGAGGGATCATTGTTGTGTTGGATATGTTTGCCACTTTGAGTTATTTGTAAAAATAATAAAGATGGATATAAATATATAAATACAAAATATATATATGTATATATATAAGCTTCTTCCTGCTTATTGGATTGTTGAAAGAAATGTCCTTCTGGGTTCAGCTCCAAGTGGGGAAGAAGACACTGGAGACATG